TGTACCCACCCATGGAAGGGATATGATAAGGCCCCCAAACGTCAGTATGCATAATATCAAAAAAATTATCACTCCTTTTATTACTCAATAAATAAGGTTTTCTACAATAATTAGCAAACTCACAACTTTCACACTGTAACTGAGAAACTCAATAGACTCAAATAAAGCTGGAAACTGACTCTTTAGAGACCGAAAAGACAAATGACCTAATCGGTTATGCCAAAGCATAACTGGACTCACACTCTGAGAAACAAAAGACATCTTCTCTACTGACTCTTCCTGACAGAACCTCTCCCCGAGCAGATAGATCCCATTCGTCTCACGACCAGTCCCAATCACCTTCTTCGTCTCCAAGTCCTGAAAAACACATCGGTCAGAGAAGAAGGTTACTGAACAGTTCATATGCTTGGTAATACTATTAACTGAAAGAAGGTTAGTATCAAGCTTAGGAACATGCAAGACAGATGACAGGGAGATAGTATCTGATAACTTGATGTCACCCTTCCCAGAAATAGGAACCAGGGAGCCATCAGCAATAGATACTTTATCCCTACCAGAAGACAAATGGTAAGTGGTAAACAGTGAAGGCAAGCTAGTCATGTGATCGGATGCACCTGAATCTATTACCCAACAAGGTTCAGTAGTACCTGGAGCTGAGGCATGGTAGGCTGAAGCTCGAGTACCTGAATGTGCGAAGGCAGATGTGGCAAGGGCTGATGGTGACTGTGGTGGCTGAGCTGAATTTCCAACTTCCTTTTCTAATTGTATTAGGGCAGCCCAAACTGCTGCTAAGGTCTCTAAAGATGTTCCTTTTGTGCCAGATGAGGATGTTGAATCAGTGTTCACGGCTACATGGGCAGTGCCCTTCTTGCTTCTCAACTTTGCAGGAACCAAGTGAGGATGCAGTTTCCAACATGTTTCTTTTGTATGTTTGGGCTTCTTACAATGTTCACATACCACATCCTTCTTGTCTTCCTTCCTCCTGTCCTTCTCTGAATCACCCCCTGATTTGGGTGTGACCGCTACAAAGGCTGGTGTGGGGGGCTGAGGTTGCATCATAACTTTCCTTCTGGTCTATTCACTGTGCACGAATGAGTATGCCTGAGAGAGAGTCGCAATGTCTCTAGTCAAAATCTGTTGCCGCACAATATCATACTCTGAATTTAGGCCTGCTAGAAACTCAAATACCATGTTTGTCTCAACCTGCTTTCTATATATTTGTGCATCTTTGGGACTCTCCCACTCAAGAGTCTCTAAGTGATCAATCTCACGCCATAGGAACTGCAAGGTAGAGAAATATACTGAAACCGGTCTCTCTCCTTGTYTAAGAYTYTTCACTTYACATTTCAATTYATATGCTCTGGCAACATTAAGGGGTTGGGAATAAGTTTCTTTCATAACATCCCATATCTCCTTAGTTGTCTTTGCCCACAAGTAATTCCGGCTAATATGAGGCTGCATAGAATTACACAACCATGTCATAACCAAGTAGTTTTCTTGGATCCACTTGGTATATGTCGGGTCTCCCTTGGGAGGTTCTTTCACATCTCCCAAGAGGTGCCCTAATTTACCTCTTCCCCCAATAGCCATCATGGCTGATTGGGCCCATTCCAAATAGTTTGATCCATCAAACTTTACGGTTGTAATCTAACCACCCATCTCAGAAACACTACCATAACTGATGTTCCCAAGGCTGCCTTATGCCTGATTTTTAAACTCCACTTCTGTCAAGTCTCAAAACAGCACTTGGACTACCAATCACAATCAAAAACAGTATAGGCCTGATCTGTATTCACARTGTATGTGCACAAAACTGGGATAATTCTGACCTGAAACCAACTAGCCAACACAACAGTAGCTGTCCGTAGAGCTCTAACCCCTTAAGACTCTGATATGCTTGGCAGAGTTAGGGTTTTAATCAGTCCTTAAAGTGAACAATTCAGTTGCACARTCCAATCAGTACCGTATAGATAGACTTGCAGTAGGGTTAATAAGAAACCCTAGAATCTGATCAATGCTAACAATAAACTTGAGGGCAGCTCTAGGTAGATCACAAGGTTCAGTCTAACACTAGGGCTTGCCGCAAGATCACTTTCAAACCCTAGAGCAGAGAG